TCGGGCTGGTTCACCAGGTCAGGGGAGCAGGATCGGGCTGGTTCACCGGGTCAGGGGAGCAGGATCTGGCCAGTACACTGGGTCATGGGAATAGGAGGAGGCTACACCAGGCTTATGAGACTGGGGAGCTAGGCTGTGAGAGTCCTGGGCTCACTGCCCCTCAGCTTCTGTGGGTTGAAATCCCCTTGTGCTGTGAGCAGTTTCAGGTATTCGTAGAAGTTGAAGATGCCTGTGTGCACCCTCCTCACATCTCTCTGTCCTTGCTTCTGCCTGTCCGTCTGTTGTGCCTTCCCAGATTTGATGATGGGGAAATGAATGTAGCCTCGAGGTTGTACCTCCGAGTCCCAGGCTCATCGTGAGCTAGTAATTCCCACCTGTGCAGAGTTTACTTACACTGTGAAGTATAAACCTTACTGTAATTGCCCTGCCATGGGGCACAGTCTAAGACCATCACTGAGTGCCTGAAACTAAAGTAGCATTGAACCTTATCATGTGCACAAAATTTCTTCAGCATGCAGACCTATGGCAGGGTGCAATGTATAAGTATAACTGAGAACTAGTTATTAGATAATTATACAATGGATTTTAATTAATTTCCAATCGTTACTCTTTCACAGGGGCCAGTGGTAAGTACAATCCAAGTCACTGGAAAGCGAGTACTGTGTTTGTGACAGTTGACTTGATACCAGCTGGCCACTAAATGACTACTAACTTGTATACAGTGGCAGAGGACGACTTGTGTCCTGTTTTTTTTTTTATCATGTTACTCACAACAGGTGCTGCTTGATTCTGGGATTTTCCATGTAATATCTTTAGTCCACATTGGATTATAGGTAAACTGTAGGCAAGGACGGACAACTACATTCACATGCCAAGCCTGACACCACTGGGCCATTTTGATAACTTGCCTTACCTGGCAGGCACTCAGGCCAGAGTGATGCAGGCCTGAGCCCTTCCTTCACCCTCAGTCTTGCTCCCTGCCAATCTTTGGGAGAGCCAGGCTGGAGTGCAGGCTCCCGGTGTGTGTAGCCAGAGTCCTTGTACAGTTGTTGCTGTATTTGTGGGCTTAGGGAGTGCCTGGCCATGGATCGCCTATTCTCTCCTTCCCCAGGTCGAACATCAAGCCAGACAAAGCCAATGCCAACCATCATAGCTTCCAGATGTACACGTTTGACAAGACCACCAACTGCAAAGCCTGCAAGATGTTCCTCAGGTAGATGTCTTCTGCCTGTCCAACCCTGGGCTTCAGGATACACTGCGTAGCTACCCTATGACTCCATGGCAACCTGACCACCCACCTTAGTGCCATGAGATGTCTCAAAGAATCAGGAAGATAACTATGGGGGTCAGCAGGCATGGCTGTTGGAGTGTCGGGTCCAGCAGAGGGTTTGCCCTTGCTGGGGACCATGGAGTGAGGGGACAGACCAAGGTGGTCAGGGAAGAGCAGATGCTTTGGGGGCATGGATGCTCCAGAGCAGACCATTGACCATTGCAATGACTGGCTGAGCGTCCAGGGAGCTGCGCCCCACCTCACCTCCCACCCTCCCCCACACAGGGGTACCTTCTACCAGGGATACCTGTGTACCAGATGTGGCGTCGGGGCACACAAGGAGTGTCTGGAGGTGATACCCCCCTGCAAGATGAGTGAGTACTCGGCAGTGCATAGATTTGGGTTGGGTGCTCCTGATTTTGTGGACCACTTGCTCATATCTGCCTTTCCCTAGAGGGAGTTACATGAGAGGAATTGAGGCCAAGACGGGAGGATAGTTGACTGGAAGGGATTATGAAAAGCTATAGCTGGGAGGGCTCCTCTTCAGAACTCGTGTGACTTTCCTATGTCTCTGCCCCATATTGGAAGTAAGTTCATGGTTCCCTTGATCCACACCCACACCCTGGGCATAGGATGTTCTCAGCAGGAATGTGGGCTTCCTATTGTAACTGGCTCCGCTCCTGGTTCTGACTCTGTGAGGCTTCAGCAGAGCAAGGGGCTGAAGCCTCGCTGGTGCCAGGCACAGGAACTAGATCCAAGAGGATCTAGAAGTGTGTGATCTGGGAGTACATTTGGAGTTTTATAAGTGGTGTTCCATCTCACGGTGACTAGGCCTGAGCAGTGGGCTCAAGTGGGGAACAGGCAAGCCCTGGCTTTTTGTTGTATTTTTTTCTGTGATGCTGGAGCAAAATCTGCCTCAGGTCTAGGCCATGCTAGGAGAGTTTTCTGCCAGCCCCCAAACTTCCTCTGAAGGGCAGGTGCAGGTGTTGACAGCATGTCCCAGGGACAGCACAGCATAGGTAATGGCAACCACTGAGTGCCAGGCCCCAGTCTCTGTGCTTCAAACGGGAGGTCCTTGTCCTTACCACCACTGGGGATGTACTGCACTGACACAGGAACCACCACCCAGAGGAAGCCAGCTTGCTCTGAGTCCCAGGGCTGAGCTGTGACTGAATTTCTTTCTAGCGGGACAGCTTTGCAATAGTATGGATTGATCTTTCTGTGCTTGACAAAGTCCTGGGATCATTGTCTTGTTATTGAGCATACATCCTGTCACCTTGCTCTCTCTACTCCAGTAGATGCCGGTCAGCTCCAGATCAGCCCCAGAAATTGAGTCTTGACAGTGGCATTGACTTAATTTATGTCGCCCCCTTGTGACCATGAGCCCCTCATACAAGGCAACTGCCATAGTTACTTCCTACTTGTGTGATTCTAAAAGTTAGCAAACTTCATTATTTAAAAAAAAAAGAATAAAAAAATAAGACAGGAAGTAAAGAAGAAGATAGGACCTGGGGTGGTGGTGCACACCTTTGATCCTAGCACTCAGAAGGCAGGGGCATTCTAGAATTTAGATTTTAGAGTTTAAAGCCAACCAAGGCTATAAATCGAGACTCTGTCTCAACAAAAGAGAAGAAGCATGGTCAATGAACTTGTTTAGAAATAAAAGCATGGCATGTGTGTGTAGCTCAGTCGGTTGAGTGCCTTTAGGGCGTGGAGGCAGGAGGATCGGGGTCAAAAACATCCTTGGTTATAGAGTGAGCTTGAGACCAGCCTAGGCTAAGTGAGACCCTGTCTTAAGATGAACAAACAAAGCCTTAGAAATAACTGAAGGCAGTGGTTTGGTATATTTTAGGTTTTCTTTTTTTTTCCTTTTTTCTTTCTTTTCTTTTCTTAAAGAAAATACATTTTCAGAGTTACATCCTTCCCCATGTTAATAATTAGATACTTATTACCTGTAGAGGAAGTTCGAAATGTAGAGAAGGAAGAAGAGGGGGAGGGGCAATTCATAGTTCCTTTAGGCACCAACAGGCACATTGGGCATTTCCTTCTTATCAGTGTGGTCCTTACCAGTATCATCTGTGTCATATGGCTGGCTGTAGAAATTATCCCAGAGGGTTCTGACATCCTCTGCCCCCATGTAACCCATGGTTCCTCGGTCCTCTGCTAGGGGATGCTGTTGCCCTCTGATCTGCTCCAGGGCTAAGCTTTGGCCAGTTTCCTGTGAACTGTGGCAATACCACAACTAAAGCATATGGACTGTGTGGCCCCTGAGGGAGCCCACAGATGCCCTAGGGAAATACCGACCCCTCCTGAGAGCCCTTCCAGGGACTCTTCCTGGGCAGGGCAAAAGCTGTGTCGCCATCCTGTGGGATTGCTACCTACCATCATGTGCCAAAGAGTCTGTAAAAAACTCAGATGTTCCCAGAGCAATTTTTGGTCACAATAGTTAGGGTTCTTGAGGTCCCCTGAGGTCCCCTCAGTCACACACTGTAGCTGTAATGGTCCTTGTTTTGACCCATGCTGAGGTCGAATGACCCTATCAATGACTGACATGTCTTTCCTCCCACATGACAGCTGAGTGACTAGTGTCCTCATGTGGGAAGGTCTTGGAAGACGGCAAAGGGGACCTGTACCCACCTCTGTGTCACCTACCTGTGGCAGGTATCACCAACAAAGTGAGCGCCAGGTGACCCTGGCGGTTGCCACCATTCAGAGCTGGCCCAGGTAGAAAAGCCTAGGCTGGATGACTTCTAGTCTGTGAGTTCTCTATGGCGCTTTAGAGCTAGACGTCAGGATATGCTGTCAAGGGAACTTTCATAGGTGTGAGCCTGGGTCTATGTGTGTGTGGTCAGCCTCTGAAGGGAGCCCCTTGCAGTTCAGCTAGCCCCTCCAGTCACGGAGTACACACTGTAGAGGTCACTTGCTGTCAAGAGTTCCATTCTGACCCCTGATCTGCTTCCTTCACAGGCTCGCCTGCAGACGTGGTGAGTGTTCCCAACTCTTCCTATTGCTTGGGACTCTGCCAGCATAGAAACATGTCTCTGTGCATGCTCCCCTGGTGGCTTGATAGCTGGTGTGTGTCCTAGCAGGTCACTCACTCCCTAGTGCTCGCCGGCTGCAGCTGTACCTCTGTGGTACAGTATACCCGTGGGCACAGGTCACTGAAATCATTACCATGTTTCCTGAAAGCTGTCGATCCAGCCCTGGTATCCAGCCTTGAATGGATGCTCATTGGGCCCCACAGGGCACAGAGATGCCTCTACCATACAACACTTAGTTGTGTTGTCCAAGGCATGTCCAGAACAGAGGCTGGGAGATGGTCTGGGAGGTTTCCTTGGGGAAGTGGGGATTAGGGTTGTAGAGTGGTGTTGAGGAGCCCAGAGTAGGGGGTATGATGGATGTGGAGAGGGAAGTAGTGTTGCAGGTATCTACTGGAGGCCTGGCCTAGCAGTTGTGTCACAGGCCCGTGCTGATGTGGGGCCCAGAAGTAGAACACCTTCCCTAACATCTGTCCTTGCTCTCACAGGATGCTCCTGGAGCAGGACCAGGTGAGCGTGCTGGACTCAGCCACGTCTGCAGTCTCTATCCACTCTACAAGCTGGGTCTGCACGTGGTGGTGGCTGCTTAACACAGCCATCGTTTGCCCTAGCCTCTCTGCCTGCCTCCTAGGGTTGACTTAGAGCTCGCTTTCAGAGAATCAGGGGCTTTCCGTCCACAGCTCTGAGAAGTGCCAAGCTAAGTACCAAACCCTGCATAATCAGGAACCCCAGGGGTTATTACCATTTTTTTTTTTCTGTGCCCCTGGATGCTGCCCAGGCTGTTTAAACATTCTGGTGAAACCTGAGCTTCCTCAGAGGAACCTCAGATGCCACCAAGATCTTACCACTATTGGGCCATAGTGACCTGGACCAGGCCTGGCAAGACAGTTGAGTGACATCTTTGAACATATGGGGTAAAACTGAGGCACAGTGGGGCCCCATCTGAGGATAGCCTAGATCCTTGGTTGATCAGGCTTGCCTCTCATCCACTCTGTGGCATCTCATCTCTCTAATATGGTGGGGGCTCCCTAGCTCCACACTGCAGATCCAGCTCAGTGTCTGGGAGAGACATAAAATTCCATCTAAAAATAAGTAGCTGTCACTGGAATGTTCTGGCATCTGTTTTAATTTAGTAGATGTAGGAGCCATATGGGAAGGATACAGAAGGGGTGATACAGGCTCTTGTGTCTCTGTTTTGGGGAACAGTTTCGAGAGACCAGGAAGGTTGGTGATGGGGGGGGAGCTGTCAGCAAGGACAAAGTCACCAGTGAGCCATTTTCTTCTACTCTAGGTCCCAAGATGGTTGCTGTGCAGAATTACCATGGTAACCCAGCCCCTCCTGGGAAGCCTGTGTTGACCTTCCAGACAGGGGACGTGATAGAGCTGCTCCGGGGTGACCCCGATTCTCCTTGGTGGGAGGTGTGTCCTGGGCCCTGGAGGTGGGGTACGACCTTACTCCTCTCCCTGTGCATCCCCCAAGGCCAAAGCAGGGAGGTTCGGGTGATGCCGTAGAGTGATAGGGGGTGGCTGCTCTGCCCCCTCCATTCTGCATGTGAATTCTGCTATATCTTCATGGAGTTGCTTGTCACATAGGTGGGGTACAGCATCCTTCCACTGAGACTCTTGTTTGCTCTGACCTCCTGCCTCAGTATACCCCAGAGGCCCTCACCAGATTCTGTCCCAGCATGCCCTGCCTGTTTTCAATGTCCCCATTCTGATCAACAGCCCCTCACAGTGTTAGGGACACTGGCCCCAGGGCCCTGTTTGGGAGGGAGACAAACACAGGCTCCATCATGTTCTTGTGGAATAGTTCTGAACTGGAGCGTATTAAACCTTTAGCACCCTCTCTGTTGAGCCCCAGCCCCTGAGGAACCCTGACACTCCATGGGTAGCTTTGAGTATGGAGTTAGGATAAAAGTTGGTGATGTTTGTGGTGTCTTGTTCTCTCAAGGACATCATCAGTAACTGAATGATGAGAGCCAAGGGTATGTGTCTTAGAGTTTTACTGCTGTGAACAGACACCATGACCAAGGCAACTCTTATAAGGATGATATTGAATTGAGGCTGGTTTACAGGTTCAGAGGTTCAGTCCATTATCATCAAGGTGGGAATGTGGTGGAATCCAGGCAGGCATGGTGCAGGAGGAGCTGAGGGTTCTACATCTTCATCTGAAGGCTGCTAGAAGACTGGCTTCCAGGCAGCTAGGATGAGAGTCTTACTATAATACATACTCACAGTGACACACCTACTCCAACAAGGCCACACCTCCTAATAGTGCCCCTCCCTGGGCCGAGCATACACAAACCACCACAGTACGGAAAGATGCTCTGTGTCATGGGTGTTCCAGTTTGCTGCTGTTCCTGTGGTGGAATGCACTGACAGAAAGCAACCCAGTGGGAGAGGGTTTATTTGGTCCCAGGTCCAGGTGGTTACAGTCCATCCTTGTAGGGAACTCAGGCAGGGACTTGAGGCAGCTGGTCACGTCACATCCACAGTCAAGTGCAGAGGAAAGGATTGCACGCTTAGTGCCCAGTTCATCTTCCTCATTCACACACAGAGCAGAACCCAAACCCAGGGAGTCATACTCCATACTCAGGCTGGGTCTTGTCACCTCAGTTAAGACCCAGAGGCAGGGCAGCCTGGTGTACACAGTCCCTCACTGTGACTCTCATCAGATGATTCTAGGTTGTGTCAAATTGACAAAACCATCACACCAGACCTTCATCCTCTTTATAACCTCTCTGGGTGTCACCTGTTTCTTAGGTAGACTTATAGAGAAACTTGGCTGTTGTGTTGAGCCTTGGTGTTACTTATCTGTAAAGTGGGGATGCCCTTGTCTCTGCTCCAAGTGGTGGAGAGGTCAACTAAGGTCACAGCAGAGAGGTGACATTCATGTCAGGCCTGGGATTTGTAAGCTATAGGCACCATCATGGCTCCTCGTTGCTTATTCCTCCAGGGGCGGCTGGTTCAAACCCGGAAGTCAGGGTATTTTCCCAGCTCATCTGTGAAGCCCTGCCCAGTGGATGGAAGGGTGAGTCTTTTCCCTGATGCTTCTAGATCACAGGGTCCAAGATGCAGAGAGCTAGGGCCAGCATGTCAGGTTGTCCTTGCTAGATGACCACAGTGAGCTGCCTCTCGGGCAGAACCTAGGGTTGGACAGAGGTGCAGTTGTCTGTTGAAGGTTTGGGAACTGAGGATGAGCAGCTTGTGGGTGTCTCAGTCAGTGCTCTACTGCTGCAAAGAGGCACCGTGACCAAGGAGACATGTGCATTTAATTGGGGCGTGCTTATGGTTTCCGAGGGTTCGTCTGTTATCATCATGGTGGAGCATGTTGGGAGCATAGCAGCACGCATGGCTCTAGAGCATAGCAGCACGCATGGCT